AGCCTTGGAAACCCTGTACAGGGTCGCTATGAGTCGGAACCGACTCCATGGCACATAACAACAACAACAAAACAACACATACATAAATTGAGATGGTCCTTTAAAATGTATCTTATTTACCTGTATGTTAAATAATTGCCTATCCTAGCTTTTCTATATCATGACAGTATTGTAAAATATAGTAATGTCAGTGGAATTAACATTGGGATTGTTAATATGATGAATTAGTATTTGAAAATTTATTTATAACTGTACTACTTTATTTCTTTTAAAATCCCATTCAATTTTTTGTTCTATTCTCATCTTCTTCACTGATTAAAATAAATAACAGCTTTACTTTATAAATATGCTTGATTTCCTTTAAAAAATGTTACCCAGCTTTGTAAGCCATAACAGCAGTATTTTAGATTTTGTAGTACATAATAGAGTCCTAGTGTGGCACCGTGGAGTCCTGGTGTGGTGCTGTGGGTTAATGCGCTAGACTGCAAAGTTGTTTTGAACCACAAGGTTGGTTCATAGATTTCTCTCCCCAGCTACTCATCAGAAACCCTATACAGGGTCTCTATGGGTCAGAACCAACTTGACATCACTTAACAACAACAAAAGGATAGGCACTGGACTGCTAACCAAAAGGTTGGCAGTTCAAACTAACCAGCCACTCTTCAGAAATCCTATACAGGGTTTCTATGAGTCAGAACTGACTCAACATCACTTAGCAGTAACAACAATATCAATCAAGGAGTCTTGGTGGTGCAGTGGTTAAGTGCTTGGCTGACAACTAAACATTTGGTGGTTCAGTGACTCCAAGGGAGACTCTGTGGCATTTTGCTTTGGAAAACTTTTTCCAGCCTTGGAGGCATTCTTGGGGAGTTCTCCTTTGTCCTATGGGGTTACTGTGAACCAGAATTGACTCTATAGCAGTGGGTTTGATGTTGTGGCTTGCTATTATACTTGTAGGGTAATCACAAGTAAAATGTAATTAAGAGGACACATGTATATGTGAAAGTAGACTTTGGGGAATAAATGTCTTTTTCTTCATATCAAAGGGACAAGAAATGTTTTGGACCTACAACACATCAACGCACAGCAAATGGGTCAAAGCAGATGTGTTAATACCAGAAGATATAAAGACATTTAAGGTATAAAGTTATTTTTTTAGGTTTGTAGTAGTGAATTTATCACCAATTGCTAAACATTCATTATGGGTAAGTATTTGTGGGGAGGACAGTTATCTACTTCCTTTCATTGTACCTGTTCCTTCTCAGATTAGATTTGCCTGAGTGGAGAAGCCAGCATGTGACTTCTCTTTTTGAAAGCTTCCTCTTTTTCCATGAAATCTTTTCAAATCATTTCCCAGTAGCATGCATTCCACAGGGAAGCAAATTGAATTATGAAGCAGATAAATATTTAACTATTATTAAAAATGAGCAGAATTTATAAAAATGTTTTAACTGCAATAACTCACAACTGTATAACAAATGTATATTTCGATCTACAAAGAGATACATCTAAATATGATTGTACTCAGTGGGAATGCTATCTCTTAAAAATATTACCTTGATATTTTGTGATGTATGTAGAATATATATGCATATTTATGTTGGAGTGTGAGTAATGAAACAATTAGACTGATTGTACGAGTATTGTGGCTATGAAACAAACTTCATGCTATTATTGTAATATAATTCTCATGCCTTTTCCCAAATATTAGAAGGATAATCCAAAAGATACTGAGGAGACTTTTAGAACCCTGTGTACTCTGGAGATTAGAATTCCTGAAAAATAGCATCACTATAGCAATCTAAGTCTACTGAGTTAACATTAAGACACGATTTTGATTTTTCTATGCTTATACCTATCTTTAAGGAGCTCTGGTAGCGTAGTGGTTACGAATCGGGCTGCGAACCTTAAGGTCAGCGATTCGAAACTACCAGCTGCTCCATGGGAGAAAGATGAGGCTTTCT